CTATTACTTTCTCTCGGTCTGTGTACCTTCCTTCCTTACGTCTATGAAGCTAGTTTCCGAGATATCCATACTTGGTCTGCGTCAGCAATATTGTCGCTTATCTTTCAGCTTTGTTTTATGTCGCCAATGCTCACTTGGCAGCCTATTTCATCCCAATTTTGGTTAGTAAGTTAGTTTACTAGTACCTGAAAGGTCTAGCTAGATTTCGAGTGGATTTAGGGAGCGACGGGTGGGTGATTCTGATTGATACAGCGCCGCATCAACATAGATTATCTTGTCACACTGCGCTGGCAAGAGCAGCACGCAGCACAAGAAAATAATCGGCTACTCGGAATCAGTTCCGAGATCGCTTGCCTCAGGGATCGCTCGCCAAGCTAAGGTCGCAGTTCCCTCACCTCCAGCTCAACGCTCGGAGTATCCAGCGCATCGTGGAGATTTGCAAGTACGTAGCCGTCGTTGTCGTTCAAAATAAATCTTGCAAAGAACGGCGACTGATTTGAACCACACAGGCAGTCGAGCTGCCCACGCGGAGTCTTATAGAGAAGGTGACCGTCACGGTCAACTTCCCTTCAGAACGTAGCAAGGCAGAGGAGAGGAAGAGAGATGAGCTTGCGAAAGCGAGAGTGTCGATCCCGAGCAAAACATATTTGTCACCAGCGCCGAGAGCAGCGACGACGAGAACCAAAAAAGTATGAAGCCTTCCTTGGACAATATATTCCTCATGGCCAGTTGTCATTCTGTACCTTACCTTCTATCATACCAAGTTTCATCGTCTCAAGTGCACGCGGTGATGTCCAAAGTCTAAGTTCAAATTGTCGAAAGATAAGCGACAATATTGCTGACGCGGACCAAGTACATTTGAGTGAATCGAAGTCTGCACACATTTCTTGTTGATAGCATAGTTTTAAAAAAAGGTTTAAATGTTTCATCTGAAGGTTATCGTTGCGGGAGCATGCTGAGGAAAGGAGCATGCTGAGGAAGATCTCCTTTCCTCCGCTAGAATGGAACTGAAGACACTTGGATGCACACCAGTGCTCTTGTTATTGCTGCGCGTCTGCCGCTTCTTCTGCCGCTGCTTCTGCTGCTGCTTCTGCTGCTGCTTCTGCGGCTGCTTCTTCTACTGCATCTGCTGCTTCTGCTGCCAGTGCTGTTGCTTCTGCTGCTAGTGCTACTATTGTTGTCTGGAGTTTACTTTAGCCAGACGAGCAGGTATAGCTGTCTTGCTGCCTGGACAAAGTACTTACACAAGTCAATGATGAACGAAAGAATGGAGGTCTGATGCATTATAGTGTGATCAAGAGTCCATAAACAAGAGTATACAACTGTGATCTCTTTGCTATGGGCCAGATGCGCGGTGCACTGCCTTCATTACAGCATGCAGCTGCAGTCTGCACACTGCGGAAAATCAAACACCGCACATTCCCTCTGGTTTGAAATCAACTTTCGTACGGAACTGGAGTTCACTCGCCAGAATTTAGAGATCGCGTAGGGACTGGATCGAATCGAGCAAAAACGGATGGGCTCGTACGAGAAATTGTGAGTTTGAATGCATGCTTTCAGAGCGTGATGATGGCAAGTTACGTAATGAAGGCAGCGCGCCGCGCACTGACCCATAAGTAGAGCTGCATACTCTTGTTTATGCACTCTTGGTGTGATGTATGACGTTTTTTGGATGAGATGTATGGCATGAAGTGTACGATGTAATGTATAACCATCTGTTCTGTGTGTTGTGCTTGGAACACACAGGTATATTGACATGATCCACAAACTGTTCCAGGTATATGAGGTGAGTCATGAGCTTCATCAGACTGTGTTTAGTAGGAGGTTTTCAGGCCAGCTTCATCAAGTAACCTCACAATTTCTACACAGCATACATTTTGTAGAAAGGAAAGGGACATATTGATACGAGTAAGAGTAACTGTGCACCACTGTAACTAGATAGTATATACAGTCAGAAAGTGCAACAACTTTTAGTAACGGTCAAGGCTGGATGTTTTGCAGATAAGAACGAAAACAGTAGAATGTCTCAGTACTCCCTGTCAGTTTTTGTGCCATTTTGTCGCACTGGCTGACTGTATAAGATCTGGTTACGTTGGTGGACAGTTAGTCATAACTCGTAACATTTTGTCCTTCTCCTATTTCACCATAATTTAATTGGCTCACCATCCCAGGAAAACAGTAACGCGTACACTCTACAAGTACGCTAAGATGTATAACTCTGCATACATGTACGTGTAGACCGTACCATCAAATAAGAACGAAACTGCCGTGTTCGCTAAAAATAAGAATGGGCTAGGCTAGAACCCTGCCCCCCCCCCCCCCCAGTTCTTCAGCGGCCAACAGTACTATGGTGCTTGCTTATGTAGGTTAAACACGTAGACCATGCATAGGTCCTCATCTTCCTATTTCTCTCTGATTGTTAATTCGTTCGAACTTGACTTGTAACTACCGGTACTTATACTTCCTATTGACTGTTTTCTCATTTTCTCAAGTGCAGCTTTATCGAGCCACACTTTTTATTCTATCGCCATCATAATATTGGGCATCAATGCCCGTTTGGTTTGCGATGCTAAAGAAAACTTCAAACAAAAAACAAACAAAAGACCCTCCAGTTCCCGTCAGATGACTCGCATCCCAGCTCAACAATCCACTTGTGATCTTTTGCACAACTTCAGGACTTTGCTTATTTTCGTCCGTTTTTTAACCAGGCGGTAGTTCAAAACTTGGAAAATGTGGAGGAGATTTTGCCTGGATTCTGTGTTTGATTTGAGCGTGCGTTTTGCACGCATGTGTGGTCGTGTGTGCATGCATGTGTGCATGTGTGTGCGCGTGTGTGTGTGTGCGCGTGTGTGTGTGTGCGCGCGCGTGTGTGTGTGTGTGTGTGTGTGTGTGTGTGTGTGTGCGCGCGCGTGTGTGTGTGCATGTGTGTGTGTGTGTGTGTGTGTGTGTGTGTGTGTGTGTGTGTGTGTGTGTGTGTGTGTGTGTGTGTCGCCTGCAGGGAATGGAGTATTGTGTGGCAACACAGGAAAGCACCAGAAAGGAATTGCCAATCTATCGATGTTTCATGGTGAGACCCTTTTCTTCTTTTTCCATAATCTTTCTCACTATCTTTGTGTTTCCGGCCTTAAATGTGGCAAGGAATAATTGCACGTGTCACATACTTCGAAGTAATATAATGCAGGATTTTTATTTAATTTTTATTTTTTCACTAAAGCCGTATGGTGCACGCAACAGGAATATGCAGCAGCTATGGTGGTGGGGGACAGGTGCTCCGTCGACCATCTGGTCTCGACACCGCCACGCTCTGGATGCACCATACTTATAAATGGAAGTGTGAGGGAAAGAGAAAGAAGAGGGGAAGCGGGAGGGGAGGGATGTACTGATGTTTTCACGATATCTACAACTCACTTTCTCTCTCTCTATCTCTCTCTGTCTGTCTCTCTCTCTCTCCCCCGCCCCTCTCTCTCTCTCCCGTCTCTCTCTCTCTCTCTCTCTCTCTCTCTCTCTCTCTCTCTCTCTCTCTCTCTCTTTCTTTCTTTCTTTTCCGCAGCACACGGAGAGAGTGATTGGCAACAACGAAAGTTCTGAGTTGTACCTCCTACACCGCAATGCTCTCCTGCGGTAAGTCACTATGTCCTTGTTGTCCTTGTCCGGCATGCCTTGGTTTTCTCAGTGAGTAAATCCTGGAATGGGAATCATTCCTCCCTTACCAGAGCTGCTATTTCGTAGCTCCTGGATTCATCCCGGTGTGTTTTATTGGCATCAGTTGATGTGTGTGTATCTGTGTTTGTGTTTGTGTGTGTTTTTGTGCACACACATTCTGGTGTGTATGTGACCTGATGTTACTATGTGTGTGTTTCAGTGACTACAAGGTGTCCTATGTCAACACGACAGATGTGGATGCTGTTGAGGAGTACCTCGGTCACTTAGACGAGGGTGCTGTTGCACTAGAGTAAGGCCATTTCCTATGCATTGTGTCCACTATGTACATGATGGTATTTCAACTGTAGGCTTTTCAAGACACTCGAGATCTTTCATAATCCACGACAATATGATCACTACAGCTCACGCTGAGCAGCGGACGGATTCGCGAGCTGAGAGTTATCCATGTGCAGAAATGAGGCTGTCTGAAGAGCCTATACAAGTCCTTGAGCCTACATGTACATGTAGATAACCATTTGACCTGTGCTGGTCTTACTCTCGCACATAATTGTTTCTGGTGATTGCGTTGCCATGGTAATGTGAATGTGTATGAGCATTATCTGTTGGTATATGGGATATAGAGGCTTATCTATGGAAGGAAAATACACGGCAAAGAGCCTTATAAGGAGGAGCACATTCCCCAGATATGCATAATGCGTGTACGTATGGTGGGGATAAGTCTTGACATCTGACGTCACTTGTTGAAAACGGTGAGCAAATCAGGGACTGCGTTGGAAATACCCTGCGCATGTCGCTTTCCTTCGGTGAGAATTCATTCGGAAGTAGATGTGTGGTCTTCTTAACTGTGTTTGTTGTTAGGGATGGTGGTGTTTTTCACTTTGTTTTTGTCTTAGGAAAGTGTGGTCTCTTTTAACCATGTTTGTGTCTTTTAGGATATGAGGTCTCTTTAAAGGGGAAGTTAAGGCAAAAATTAAAATTTCACCAGTTGTAGTCTTCGGGGTGCTGAGTCGAATGGTCTTGGTCCGAGAAAGCTGAGACGCTCCCTTCCTACTTGAATCCCAATCGAACTCGCGCACTTCCACCGAAACTGGGTGACTGCGCCCTAATAGATGGGGATTTGTATGCAAAATGTCACTAAAAGCGCCATTTCGTTCTTATAAAAGCACGGATGACCGCGATTGGCCCATATGTTGTAGTCTTTTGGACGCTGAGTCGACTGGTTTTGGTCCGAAAAGGCTGCGATGCAGCGTTCCTCCTTTATTCCCAATCAAACATGGTTGAACAAGCGGTCATGTGCTCCTGCGTACACCAGTCAGCTGGTCACCGTGCCTGCAGGGTACAACTTACTAGCCTGTTTGACCTTTTTTGGGTGCAGTCCTGTCACTCGAGTTGAACTCGAGTTGAACCTTGGTGTGAAAGTTGTCGCCTGCTGGCGTGGTGACCAGGCGATTTGGGCACCCAGGAGCACGTGACCACTTGTTCAACCATGTTCGATTGGGAATAAAGGAGGAACGCTGCATCGCAGCCTTTTCGGACCAAAACCAGTCGACTCAGCGTCCAAAAGACTACAACATATGGGCCAATCGCGGTCATCCGTGCTTTTATAAGAACGAAACGGCGCTTTTAGTGACATTTTGCATACAAATCCCCATCTAGTAGGGCGCAGTCACCCAGTTTCGGTGGAAGTGCGCGAGTTCGATTGGGATTCAAGTAGGAAGGGAGCGTCTCAGCTTTCTCGGACCAAGACCATTCGACTCAGCACCCCGAAGACTACAACTGGTGAAATTTTAATTTTTGCCTTAACTTCCCCTTTAACTGTTGTGTTTGTGTCTTAGGGATGTGAGGAAGTACCTGTTTGCTGGTCGCGAGCCGCTCATCGAGGGCGGCGCTCTGCTTCACGCCGTGAAAGTGCAGTGCTGCGGGGAGGTGATAGCTGTTGCTGTGTTACGGGATGTTCTGGTAAGTCAACGACTTCATTAGCCACGCTTTGCACGACTTCATCACTAGCCAAGTGTTGCAGTCCGCATAGCACAGCTGCAGACCCAGTGAGAACATTATAGCTGTGCAGATTCTAGCCAGCATTGAGGTCCAACTGGACCTAAATGTGACGTAAAAGCTTTTTGCTGGAGCACCCACTAGACTCATCACAGCCCATTGCTTGACAAGTGTTTTACTTCTAGAACATGTAAAGTAGCCTTCGAGTATGAATGTTTTCAATCAGTGGATTGATGCTGAACTTGATATTCTTAGGGGTTTATATTGTGTGGATATTTGATCTGCACATGGGCACACTGAGGACTTGGTAACTCCTTGATAGTTTGTGGGTTTGTACTTTTCATCTGGAGTGTACGTGGAGGGTGTTTTCAGATTTATTTCTTTATTTCTTTCTCGGTTGATTCTGTCTGTCGCTCTCTGTCCATCTCCGTGTGTGTCTTTCCATCTGTTGGTCTGTGTGTTTGCCTGTCCGTCTATGTGTCTGTCTGTTTGTTTGTATGTCTGTACGTTTGTCTGTGTGTCTGTCTATCCGTCTGTGTGTCTGTCTATCCGTCTGTGTGTGTGTCTGTTTGTCTGTATGTCTGTCTCCCTCTCTCTCCACCTGCTTTCAGGACCCTGATTGGCTGCGTGCTCATTACGACATTGAGCAAGCAAGTGCATTTGACTGGCTACACCCAGACGAACACAAGTACTTGAACCACTTTATCATCAACCCAGGATTTCTGCCGCGCCAGAGATTCATCCTTGGGGTAAGGTGTTGTCCGTATCATCTCCAGGCTCATTGTTGAGCTCTGTTCAGAGATCGATTGTTCATCTTTCATAGGAAGGTGGTGACTTCAAAAGTCAATAACTACTGACAAGGTGGTGACAAGGTGGTGACTTCAAAAGTCAATAACTACTGACAAATAATGACTTGGAGTCAAGTTGGCTCCAAGTTGCCCATAACGACATACAGGATGTGGTGAGTAAGCCCCTAGTGTCGAACCCAGGTGTGAATTCCCTCTGCACCAATCTCCCTGACTGGGAGAGGCCCGCCACGCCACAACTGGTGCCTGGGTCCCTCTGCCGTGAAAGAAAAACCCCAAACGCGTATGGATCGATACAAAACTGGATCCAAGAGTCAGCATTGCCATGACTGCGGGCTTGCTGTGGCATAGTACATTCAAGCCCTTTACCATTAAATGTAGAACAGAGGGCAGCATTCAACATAATTCTGAACTCTGTAGACGTCATGAGAATCAAATCGTCAATTGAAGTGGCTACATCATCCCAAAGCTCTACCCCTGAAACCCCGAACACCCCCCCCCCCCCCCTGCACACACACTCTCTCCTAGCTACTCACGATTTCCGTCTTTTCCCCGTAGATCCGTTAGTGCGGCTATGATTTCGAGACCAGTGGGCGGATGAACCTCCCAAACCTCGTCATCTGCACTATTGCTCATTCTGTTACCCTGCACCCCTTGTCTCCTGTCTTGTGTTGATGTCACCCCCCCCCCCCCCCCCCTGTTGTCTCTGTGGGGATGTGTAAAAGTGTGTCTCCTAATAAAAAAATGAAGAAAATGTTTGCCGTATTTTCCAGAGTGTAACCCGCACTTTGGACACACAAAATTCACCCTAAAAAAGGGGTGTGGCTTATACTCCGGTGATCAAATTAACGGTGAGTGTGCCGTTGTGTGTGTGTGTGTGTGTGTGTGTGCGTATGTGCATGTGTGTGTGTGTGTGTGTGTGTGCGTTTATGTGTGTGTACGCGTGTTCATGTGCTGTGTGCATGTGTATATGTGTGTACTTGCACAGGAGATCCTGCATGTCGTCAGTGCTACATGTTGTTACTATGAAATGTACGAAGGTCGCAACCGACCAGCACAGGTACACACATACAGTATACAGTGAACACATAGTCTGTGCAGTGTCTGCTCCAGAGCCGGGTCAGCGGCCCGGTCGGGGGTACTTGGATCCGTTTGGAAAAAGAACACTGGATCAACTGTGACCTGGTTGGGAATACATTATACGTCAGGGAGTCCTAAAATAGTTACAGTTCCCTGATGTACATCTACACGCAGTAGCCACACTTGAACGTACCCGGCTCTGACCCGGTTGCAATGGTTGTGCCAGGTACATGAACCCGGTTGGTTTGAAATCCTAGAGCAGACACTGCTGTGATCTGCATACTGGTTATACAATGGCGGTTCACACGGTACGACCAGTGCGACCATGGTCGCACCACTTCTCTTCCGGCATGGTCCGCCCAATTCATCCCCAGGTGTGCCTCTCTCCACTGCCCTGTGATAGCTCCTGGGTTAGATTAAATATAAATAAAACACAAAGACCCTGATTCAAACACTGCAGTGTACATTTTTCACATGTTTTCCTTTCCCTTCTCCCTCCTCTAGTTATAGTATCATTTTTCATGCTGGGCACAGGTGGAACTTGTCATTTTAAAAGTATTGTGTGTTTGTGTGTGTGTGTGTGTGTGTGTGTATGTGTGTGGTGTTTATGTGTGTGTGTGTGTGTGTGTCTGTGTGTCTGTGTGTGTGTGTGTGTGTGTGTGTGTGCTTCTACGTGTATGCACCCACAGAGAGCAAAACCATTTACCATGACGCCTGCTTTGGATCTGATGGCATGGGCTCGGTAAGTACTGTCAACCCGTCAACCGACACATACTGTTGTGCTCTACTTTCTTCTCCTGCTCCCAGCACGGTGCCCGGTGTCATCTCCACACTCAGAGAATGGACGACGATAACTACATTTGGAAGACTATATTTGTGACAAGACAACGGAAGCGCAACTAGACGTGACGAACTCAAGGCGAAGACTGCCTTTCACACCACAGCAACACGCGCATTCACCAACACCACGTACTCACGACATACACAAAATAACGAACTGCAACAAAGTCAACAATACCACATGGGGTGCAGAACCCCCAAGAGTACGCAACCCCAGTCTTTAGGGCCTATGACGGCACCCTGACATGAACAGTCAACCTTGAGACCTTGGTTGTAATAGCAACTCGTGAATAACTACACAATATTCACACCTAGTGACCATTTGACATGCTTTCAACCTCACCGGCAGCGACACTAATTTATTTATTTATTTCTGCACCTCGTAGCATGTCAAGACAGCCAATAGAATTGAGGAGAGGGTGAGACCAACCACGGAAGAAGAGAAAAAAGAAAAAGAAAATCACGTGCACAAATGGGGTAGGGATTAGCAAGTTAGAAAGCAATGGGATGCCCAGCGAGCTATGCAGCGGAAGTGGTGACTGTTAATTGACACTTGTCTCATGCACGCCATCAAGGGTTGTTCTTCTCAAGGTTGACTGTAGCTTTAAACGTTTTGTTGCTAGCGGTTTGTTGTCTTGTATCTCGTCATCATCTATTAATTTAGTCCTTGCTCTTCCGGATCATCTTGCCTGTAGACCTCGTCGACAGATTGTTTACCCGAAGAACACGGAGATCATGCCATCTGAACAGATACTTCGAAAGAAGGTAAGACAATCAACCCCCTTGCTGACCTTTAGACGTTGTGTGTTTTGTGCTCAGCCCTGCGCACCAGCCAAGTATGATTTGCCATCAACCTTACAAAGACACATGAGATCAACAGTGTGCAGTTTGGGCCTTGGCCTCACCATTCACTGGCTACACAACGTCATTGGCCAAGAGTACATGACCTCCAAGAGTGTCCACTTGTTTGTACAATGTCTATCTAAATTGCTGGAACGACAGAACTTCACATCATGTGACCTGCTGCAGAAAATAATATTCATGGTTGGCGTGAGACTCGGCTGAAGGCCCAGTTTTCCGCATCCGCAGGAACGCCACAACCCTCAGGGATCAAGTTGCAGATACAGCTCCTAAAGTAGTGCTATGATAGCAGTGGTGAACAGTGCAAACTGACCACACCAGATATTGTACTCAAAGCATGACTGCATACAACCCTGTAACCTTTCATGCAAACAGAGTAAACGAGTTCTCGCATGTTTTAAATTTCTGTATTCACCAACCCCATAGACTTTAAGATTGTATTCTCCACAGCGGCATCGGAAGGTATTTCAGGGTGGCACTGTCAGCGATCGGAGGTCCTTCTCCCCCACCCCCCCCCAAACTAGTTGTTAGAATTTCGAGCCGAAATAATTACTTGTGCATCAATTTTCGTTACTTCACGGAGTCAGGGAGTAAACGTGGTATGATCGATACCACAAAGACCTTAGCATGCCCCGTGCCCTTGTTTTTTTGTGCCACAATGGCTCTTAACCAATGAGGAAGATTCTGACTAACACTGTCTATGCGAGTGTCATCATCTCACTAAACCTGCCATGCTTAGAACCGAAGGGCAAACAGGTGCCAGATGTGCCGCTCTATACGGAACACATCAGTTGCTGATGTAATCACGTATCCTAGCTCTGTTGCGTCCCAGAATCCACTCTGATCCGTACAAATTCACGTGTAGCCCTGTTGTTTTTCTTCTCGCGTGTCCCTGCTTACCAGCCTCGCTTTGGCCTGTTCCAGCTGAACCGCAAGTTGCTCTACGCAGAGCGGGTAAGTTCACAATGAACTGAGAGTGCTCGAAGTGTGAGGCGAGTGCACTATGAATGCGAGTGCGGATGAAGGTCCTATTTTTGGTGCCTTCCCTATCATTTAACCCGGCTGTAGGGGGTGTGAAACGCAAGGCAATGGTGTGTGTGTGTGTGTTTCTGGCGGTGAGCCAGCACCAGTACCAGTATAAGTGCTTGTGTGTATGTCTTTGTGTGTGTTCTGTGCGTACTTGCGTACGCACGCGCATGTGTGTGCGTGTGTGTGTGTGTGTGTGTGTGTGTGTGTTTGTGTGTGTTTGTGTGCGTGTGTGTGCGCACAATACACATGATTGTGTCTGTGTCTGTGTGCCTGTTTACATGTATGTTTGTGTATATTCCGATAGGAAGTGATCAACACTCGCATTGTCATCGTGGGTGCATCAGATGCAGGTCTGGCTACACTGGAGAGTCTGACTAACTCGTAAGCTTCTGCCGCACCTTATCACATTTTGTTTACGAGAAACCACGAACCTCGAGAACAGAATACTGCATGATAGAGGTGGCTGCAGACGCAACTGTGGTGGTGAAACTGGAGCATCTCCGCCGACCTGAGGTCTCGGGTTCAGCGACACTTCAGTGCACCCGAAATACAGTGGGGACTACTGAAATCCGATCCCTGGTTTTCGTGCTCCAGTGCAGCACCCATTCTAGCGGTCTGTGTTTCTTAGAGTAACTGGGTGTGCAATATGAATGCACCGCTCCAGGGGCCGGATTTCAGTTCCCAGCACTTTAGCCAGTGGTTGTTATATAAATTCAGGGGCGTCGAAAGGTATTTTAGTGTGGTACAGTCAGCCACCTGAAGGATAATTTACTCCGGGGGGGGGGGGGCTGAGCCGATAATTTTGGATATTTAGGGCCCAGATGAGTGCATTTTATTGATTCATGGGGTACTTGGGGTAGCTGGGGTAGCTGGGGTACTTGGGGTACCTGGGGTAGCTGGGGTAGCTGGGGTAGCTGGGGTACTTGGGGTAGCTGGGGTAGCTGGGGTAGCTGGGGTAGCTGGGGTAGCTGGGGTAGCTGGGGTAGCTGGGGCAAAGAGTGATCACGGGTAAACACTGTAGTAACCGTCCTGTGTCCTACACCCCTGTGCAATGCTCGGCAGCAGCTGACAGCTGAGCTAGTACTGTCCGAATATTGTTACCATGGGGAAAGTTTCCCATATCACCTACAATATATACAATTTCATGGTTGAGCTGGACTAGCATCAGCATGCAGTCGAGTGAGCTGTAGAGAACTATAGGGAGCTATAGAGAGCTGCATGTGGTGTATTCGACTCGTTACCATTTCATCTGCAATTGAATTCCGATTATCTGAATGTCAGTTATCCGAACGATCACTTCTCGGGTGTGTGGGATTGTGTGTGTGTTTGTGTGTGTGTGTGCGTGCGTGCGTGCGTGCGTGCGTGCGTGCGTGCGTGCGTGTGTGTGTGTGTGTGTGTGTGTGTGTGTGTGCGTGCATGCACAAGCTCGCGTGTTCGCTCTTGCTTGCACGCATGCATGTGGGCATGGGCATGTCTCGTTCTTCTGACACTGCCCCTACAGGCCCTATGTTCGTTTCAACAACCTGGTGGTGATTGACCCGCAGGGTATATCCGGAATGAACGTACCCCGATTCACTGACTCGGATGATTTCCTACCGAACACGTATGTTGTTATCTGCACCGTACCTGTGTATTACCCGTCAACCACCACACCACAACTGCGCTCTCCAGCCGACCTCGACACGTTGCCACGGCACACCATCAGCAATTGACGCACATCCGTTGGTACTCCGCTCCTTCATACAGCTGTTTCGAGTGTAAAACTCTCATCAGTTGCTTGTTGTGGTATGGTGGTTGACGAAGAATCTGCACAGGGCCGAATGTTGCTGCTTGCCCCTTCTTTAGTGCATATGCATTGTATGAAAAATCAAATGAGGGACATGAATCTATCGATAACACCAACCCAATGTGTTTTGTCTGCGGCAAGTTGCTCGGCTTCCAAACGCGACTCGTTGAGACGTAACGGATCATTTCCGTATGGTTAGGCCAGCTGCCACACCTGCTTCACTCATGTATCTTGTACTGGTTGTGTGTGTGTGTGTGTGTGTGTGCGCGCGCGTGTGTGCGCATGCATGCGTGCGTGTGTGTGCATGCGTATGCATGCGGGTGTGTATGTGTGTCTGCATGCTTGCATCATGCAGTTTGTCCTACCCACCTTCCCTGGTCAGCCAGTCTGGACTCAATGTTTGGGTGAACGTCATCTACGCTAAGATGTCCAGCCTGAATCGGTGAGTGGCATTGTGAAAGATGCGGACACTGTCACTGCCTTGCCAGTTACCTGTCGTACAGAGACCAGCCTAGATTGTACTGTACAATTGGACATCAGCTTACTAATCACAATGTTATTGTATTGTGTGTGTTTGTATTCGTGTGTGTTTGTACGTATGTGTGCGTGCTTTGTTCTGTGGGGCAGTAATCGACGTGAGGTTATTCTTGACAATAACTGCCGAGTTCCCTATGATGAGTTGATACTCTGCACTGGAATGCAGTATAGTGGAGGTGAGTGTACTGATTGTATGCGTGCGTGTGTGCGTGTGTGTGTGTGTGTGTATATTAGGTGTGAGGTGAGATGTGTGTGTGTGTGTGTGTGTGTGTGTGTGTGTGTGTGTGTGTAGTAGCTGGCCCTCGGAGACAATTTCACACACTCAACAAAGCACTCACTTTGTGGTTTCACGAATACTCGTTAGGACAGAATTATTAGTTACACACTCGGCAAGTAAAGATAAGAAGTGAAAAGAGCACAAGAAAAGAACAATGCAAGAAGACAAAACACGCGGCGAACGGCAGCCATGTTTTTTTAGGTCATCAACCAATGAGCAATCTATATAAACCGGTCGCCGACGAAATTCTAGAATATTCCAGAGCTGTGCTCTGTGATTGGTTAATTATGCCAATGTTCTAGAACAATAACACTAGCAGCAGTCATACGGGTAAATACGGGTTTAGCCATACACGACTCATACATTACTCACGAGCGACTCACGGAAAGGGTAATAACATGCAGATACAAAATACGCAAGGAGAGAAAAATGTAACTAACTGCCCATCTTGGGGTTTGAACCTAGGAATCTGTATCAACACAAGCTCTACAAATAAATACTCTTTTACTGCGAAAAATATACTTTATATCAAAATGCAACTCCTACATGTGTGTGTGTGTGTGTGTGTGTGTGTGTGTGTGTGTCTGTGCGCCTCTGTGTGTGTGTGTGAGTGTATGTATGTGTGCATGTGTGTGTATGTACATGTGTGTGTATGTGCATGTGTGTGTATGTGCATGTGTGTGTATGTGCATGTGCACTGCTACATACATGTATGTGCTTGCATAGCAGTGCACAAAGACACTCTGGCCGTGATCCGCTACCTGTGCTTTCGATGATGCTGGGTGTACTTCAAAGTAATCACCATGTTTGTTATGGTCTTCAGTTCCTCATACTGCTGCTTGTGCTTGGAAGCGTGTTTTTATTGCTTTACGGCTTGTGCTGCTGCTGCTGCTGCTGCTACTATAAGGTGTTTTATTGAATGCACAAAGCAATGATGATACGAATGTGGTGGTGGTGCTGCTGCTGTTTCTGTTTGTGTCCTGCCTGTTCCTGTAGTTCGCGGTCTCAAAGCACCCTCAGAGGAGGTGTATGGTATGGACGTTAAGCGTATGGAGGATGAGTACAAGCAGACGGTGATATCCTACAACACGCTGGCCGAGCTGGAAGACACCATGGCGCTGTGCAAACACAAGCTCAGCAAGACGAAAGGTACTGCTGTCGCTGTGCCGTGCGGCTGAAACACCTTGCCGCTGTTGCCTGTGTGACATAGTAATAGATTTGTGTAAACTACAGTCAGACCTCGCTTATCCGGACCTCGTTTATACGGATCCCTCGTCATCCGGAAGAGAATCGTTGGTTACCGATTAACAGCATATGCCATGTTTACATACAGTATGTGTGTTCGATTATCCGGTTCCCTCGCCTATCCGGATATTTTTGTGGAAAACGGATGCGTGCGGTTATGCGAGGTCTGACTGTAGTTTGCAATAAAATGTTGCAACAGAGCTTTCGGCCATCTACCACTTCACTGTATCCCCCCCCCCCCCCCACCTGTCACCACCATGCGCTCTTAGCTGAACCAATGGACGAAGCATAAACACACAGCAGCTGTCTAGAGGCGTTAAAGTGTATCTGTCAACGGAAGTGTCCTTGCTGTGCTGGTGTGCTTATGTTTTGTGCATTGGTTCCGCTAAGAGCGCATGGTGGTAATGGGTGCAGGATATAGTGAACTAGTTTGGTCCATTGATTCATCTACAACTGATACCCTCATGGACGTAGGAACCGGTCCGCCAGGCCCGGCGGTCGCTGGACCAATAATTTTCGATTTTTAATTTTTTTTTACATTTCAACCTTGTTGATGGCTTGTCGACTCTTGTACAGGTACCATGCTTTACATCAACAATGCGGTGCATCATCAGCATGCATATTCTTATTTCTCATATTCTGTAGCAGGGATCGATTTATCCGGGTTCGCATCGCAGTTTGCGAATCAAAATTCACTGGCTGCGATTCGCTTTTTGTTTTTTATCGCCCAAAACTGCGATGCACTGGTCATGCATACCGGTATGTACAAAGACCATTCTGTACTCTTTGTGTGCAGTTTGCATGCGACTGCTGTACACCACTGCTGACTAGGGAGTAATATTTTACTACTCCAAACTGACCTGTCCTGCTCAGTCCGCGCGCAGGTCGCGGATCGCGCTCTGTTTGATTTTGGACACTGCACTAGCCACACTGCACTGGTCGTACAAGACTGCAGTACATGGCGGCGACTTTCCCTGAAAAGGCTGAAGTTCTCCTTTCTTCTTTCACTATCAAGCTCAATTTAGTTTGTTTCTGTTCGACAAGACACAGTTGAAGTAGATAGTTCTTAGTCTCGGGTAGCCAACATGTCAGTGAATCTGATCACTGTCCAGAAGCGGGAAAAAGAACTGGACGCGCCAGGAGTGTCGATTCGTTTCGATGAAGAAAAGGAGAAAAGCGAAAATTCTGTGCGCTTTGAACGAAGTGTCACGATTGTTTGAGCGCTTTCCTGCGCTTTATTTGTCGAAGGAATCAGTGGAACTGCCCTGTTGAAGGACATTGTGTTGTGAAGAAATCGAAGTCAGATGGACGCTGAACATGATTGTAATAAGCCCAAGCAAAAACCCTGACGTAAAATGTTCAGGTAAACCGTTCGTTTGGAAAAGCAAATAGCAACTGCAGCTGCCCTCTTCTGTACAAAGACCTGCTATTGTACAGATATACATGTAAACTTTCGATGAAGGAAAACTGCTAATCAATACTGGGAGTTGCTAGTCAATTGTAAAACTATGTAGCAGTGACTGCTATGCAAAAAAATCAAAATAAATCGATCCCTGCTGTAGCATTAAAATATGGCCTTTTAGGCCCAATTTTCAAAAAAAATCCCGGGGGAGGACCCCCGTACCCTCCTCTCACAATTTCCCCACACCAATATTAAACTGCTTCCTACGCCCCTGACCCTGACTTGTTGGCGTCTTGAGCGCATATGTACTATGGTGAATTTGGTGAAACTGGGTACACTGCACTGTGTACATTGTTTTGCTTTGTTTTGTAGCTACATGTATTGAAAGGGGATTACCCAGAGGCTCTAGGCCTGTCGAGTGGATCTCCTTCTCAAAGAATGTTTTCATTTGTTTGTCCGAGCATTGCGCGACCCATGCAATTCTTTTTTGCTACTTTTGAGGCTTGATAAGTGAGTGGACAGAAAGTTAGAAGTTCAGCCAGGTTTTACGAAATCAGGATAGACATGCCATTCCAAAATGAATGGGGAAACATATCCCGAAACCATCACCCCTTTCTCAAGAATTTGTTCGTGACATGTCAATAAAACCTTCGTAACATGACGCTTCACCTGATTCTGTTTCTTGCCATCCTAAGTATTTTGTCACCTCGCCGCCTGTTCAAATATCCCGGAACCATAATCTTTGAATTTTTAATTGGGTTTTGACTTTTGAGCCCTTAACCCAGCAAAAACCGGGTTTCCGAAAGGCAAGTGGACTATACCGTCTGAAGGAAGTGTATGTTCGCCCACTGCTCAAAGAGTAATTAATTGCATCATGTAGTAATACAAAGATTTGTACAAGGAGAACGGAAGTTTTGTTGCAACTCTGCAATATACTACAACTTACAGCGGGAAGAAGATGAAAGCACATTGTGAATAAATCGCACCAGCCGAAATAGCTCAGTTGGGAGAGCGTTAGACTGAAGATCTAAAGGTCCCTGGTTCAATCCCGGGTTTCGGCATTTATTTTTCTTACTTTCAGTTGATAATGTTCGTGTTCCAGACTCTCTGTTTGCGCACTCGAATTGAGCCTGTAAAGATCCGCCCGTTGGAATTCATAAAATCCTTTTTTTCTCTCCTTACTGTTGCTATTGTTGCTGCCACTGATATGGTTGCTGCTACTGTTGTTCCTGTTGCTGCTGCTGATAATGCTGCTACTGTTGTTGCTATTTTTGCTGCTGCTGATGCGTTTGCTTGTCTTGCTGCTACTCCGTACTGTGTGCCCGCAGGTCGAGTGATCGTGTACGGTAATAACGTCGAAGCGTTCGCCGCCGTTCAAATGTTAGTGACCAACCAGGTGGTGGGAGAGCGCATTGACCTGGTGCTGCCCACGCAGGGCAAAGTATGGTCGGACGGCGAACCTCTCCTAACGGATTGCTTTGAAGAGGATGCCATCACATTGAGAATCGACACGGAGCTGAGTTGTCTCGGTTAGTTAGTCAGTGCTAGCGTTGCACCGTTGGCTCCCCTTGCCCATGTCCGCAACACACTATTGTGTGTGTGTGTGTGTGAACGCATGTGTGGGTGTACGCGCGTGTGTGTGTGTGTATGCGTGTGTGTGTGTGTGTGCATGTGTTTTGTAGCTGAGTTTTCTTGGTTAGTTAGCACTAGCGCTGCACCACTGGATCCCCTTGCACATGTCCGCCACACACTTTGAAACTCTTTTTTTATACTTTCTGAACTGAAAATACTCTCTTTGCGTCGGCCATCACTGCTGTGGCGAGAGTTTCTTTTGACAAAGGGGCATACGAAATAGGGAATTTAGGGGCATTTGACAACACTACACCGCTGCACGGTGTCAGGCGACACTTTACAAGCTACTAGATTTGTCCAGGGCATTCGCTAAGCAGCCCGACGAACTTCACCCATGTTTAAAGTTTTTTTTAAAGGTCACGCGTCCATTTCATCAACGGCTTTACAACTTTGCTGAGATACACAACTAGCTTAGAGAAGTTTTGCTTGTGCCAGGCCACCACAGGCTCACCGGAAACGGTCCGGTTGGTCAGGTTATTACCGGTGCAACGTTTAGGCCACCAACACAAGTTTCCTACTGTGGAGGGCATGTGTATCCACCACATCATACACAAACTTTGTGTTGTACGAGTGTAGCTCGTCCTTGTTTTAGCTGACGACAAATGTATGAACGGCCTTGCCACTACCGGACCAATATTAAAAACTGTTTCCGGCGGTCCTGCACCACTGTGCCTGATGCGACCATGTGTAGTACAGTAAAGCCTGCCTTAGACGACCGACCGCTCAAGGGACCTTCAAAATGTGGTCTCTGTTGCTAGGTGGTCTCCGTATCCAGGCTCATTTGACTGGAAATAGCATCCCTTGGTCCTGGTTTTAGTGGTCTTTTAAGACAGGTGGTTGCCTGATCCGAGTGGTCACCTTGACAGGTTTTACTATATATGTCTGGTTTAAAACGGACTATGGTATTGGAATGAACTGCATTTGGTGTTCTGTGTTTCTATGCCTAGGAGTGCAAGTCTTTCCAGGTATGACCCTGTTGGGATGGACGTCTCACCAGGACGAGGATGCTAATCACAAACATCTACTGGTTACTTTCCGGAGAGCAAATTTGAAGGACGACCGCCAGCTCAAGGCTGATGTAGGTTTGACAATGGTGTAGTAGTTTGAATGCGGGCTATGTAACCACTGGTCGTTTTCAGTCATACGGGCATGCCCTCTTTAAGTATTTACTCCCTCTCCCTCTCCCTCTCCCTCCGTCCCTCTCCCTCTGTCCCTCTAATTATATCACTTACAAACGTATGCACACACGTACGCACTGATACACACACGCACACTTTACGCTGATTTTGCTTGTACAGTTAAGGTAAAATCGCCTGCACACGGGTATGCGCAGTATTCCGGTTGTGACCAGTAATTTCCAAGTAGTTTGATATCCGAATGCTTTAGCCATTAAGAGCTTTCGGCGTCAGGCAAACTAAACGTTTGAAGGCTGCGCAAAGATATCTTACAATCCACAGTAGGGCTTATGATTAATTTTGATGCATACATGGCACTGTGACGCCGAGACCCATGGTCGGCAGAGTCCATGTATTTCATCAGCACAGCTATTAACTGGCATTGTGGATAGCGCCTACCCAGTCCAATGTACTTTTTGTCTTTCAACATGATTTGTAGGTTTGTGTTCTATTTAAAAATTTAAAAAGAAAAAGAAAAAAAGTGACGCCTGACTATGTTTGGCTCGAACCAGTCGTGCGCTTCAGTTTGAATTACATCTCACTGTGCAATTCTCCATAGTACTTTCCTGCTTCGATCATCACATGCATGGTGCAGGTGCGTAGCACTGCAGGTGGAGATGGTTTGTTAGGAGGGGGTCCGGGTGTCGCCGGGAAATATTTGAAATTAGGGTGCAAGATCCTGCATTCTGGACACGTTTTTGTGGTCGGGCGAAAAAGTGGTCCAGCCGAAGCCGGACCGGCCGGACTGGCTTCTACGCCCCTGTGTTGTCATGTTGACATGGTTGCCTTGGTAATGACATGTTGATATGGTTGCCTTGGTGATGTTCATTCTTATTGTCTCAGGCCCTGTTCTACTTTGACAAGAAGACTGTAGACCAGGACGCCTTTCTGGGTAAGTCGATTTTCTGATGTCCATCATGTGTTGTGATTTAAAACTGTTCTTAAAAGTTCACACAATGTGGGTGCTGATTGCTCACAAGCCTGCTCGCTGCTGTGGCTTTCTGCCTAGTTGACATGTTGATACTGACCATACTCAGCACTGACAGCCGGAGTATGGTGCAAGTAAGTCGAATTCCCCTTCCTGGCAAAAACCTGGAAGACAGCAGCACATCTTCCTGCTCTTTTATACCAGTGCTTCCGGGGATTTCAAACGTAAGGCATCGCTTTGCAAAAGTATGGCATGTTACGTCAGGCGCGTACGCAGGGGGGGTTTCCCGTTGCCCGGAAACCCCCCAAATGTTCCAAACGAGCAACGTTTTTGGGCAGTTTTTGGTAGGATGCATGATCAATCTGGCAAGAATGCAAAACTTCAAAAGATCGTAACTCAGTCAAATCTCGCTCGAATCCAACGATCCAAATATCCAGGTCGAATAGAAAACTCTCAGCTGTCGGTTGAAACAATTTACGAAGCGCTGCGAGCAATGTATCATGAGATAAATCATTCGTAAGTTGAGCCGCGATCTCGGTAATTTCAAAAGCGCGCAGTGCGACTTGAGTATCGAGAATTTGAGATTTTCGTCGCGCTGATTTCCTGATTTCATCAAATTTGCAGGGGCTTCACTTGTGATATTTTCAAGAGTACACAGCAAAAAATCGAAAATCTGCGATCAAGAAACGAAATCGCTGGAGCAGGACGCGTTTGGGCCTGTTTGGGGCAATTTTCGCACCGTCGCTGCACTCCACCGCTATAGCCTATACGGCTATAGCGGTGGATATGTACATGTAGATCTACATGACTGTACTGTGTCCTGGCTATCATGGTCGGCCTCATTCTCTCCCTGGTACCTTTCCACTTCCAGGAAGCCCAAGATAATGAAGATTGAGTGAGTAGAACTGAAGTTATGATCCAAACAACACGAAAAATGCATAATTTTGAAAATTTCCTAGGGCTCTCTAGAAAGGGTTACAACTTAAAACTCATTGTTTGGGATTCGGTTGGAAACCCCCCTAGAAGTGACCCTGCGTACGCGCCTGTACGTAGTGGGTCCATCATCCCTCAACGAAACCGTGTGTGTATGGGTGTGTGTGGGGAGGGGGGGGTTGAGTGAGGTCTCTGATGTTGGCACATGGTACATCAGAACCTGCTGAAGCTGTTTTTGATTGGTCTGGCCATACCCTAACCTTTCATACAGTTTGTGTATGATATGGAGGGTATACACATGACTTTCATACAGTTTGTGTATGATATGGACGGTATACACATGACTTTCATACAGTTTGTGTATGATATGGAGGGTAGTCACATGACTTTCATACAGTTTGTGTATGATATGGAGGGTATACACATGACTTTCATACAGTTTGTGTATGATATGGAGGGTATACACATGACTTTCATACAGTTTGTGTATGATATGGATGGTAGTCACATAACTTTCATACAGTTTGTGTATGATATGGAGGGTATACACATGACTTTCATACAGTTTGTGTATGATATGGACGGTATACACATGACTTTCATACAGTTTGTGTATGATATGGAGGGTAGTCACATGACTTTCATACAGTTTGTGTATGATATGGAGGGTACACACATGACTTTCATACAGTTTGTGTATGATATGGAGGGTATACACATGACTTTCATACAGTTTGTGTATGATATGGAGGGTATACACATGACTTTCATACAGTTTGTGTATGATATGGAGGGTATACACATGACTTTCATACAGTTTGTGTATGATATGGAGGGTAGTCACATGACCTCCTCATCAGTAAACACACATCGGCGGCTAAGAGGTTGGTCCGGCCATGGCCTGACCAACCGGACCGGTTCCTGCGGACCTGTACGTGACCGTGGAAAAGATCCTGTAAAAGCTAGCATAGCAAGCAACAGCCCAGAGCACCCACTCTGTTGCCTGTTGGGCCATCGCTGGCTACTCTCCTGCATGAAGATTTACATATGCACAGTACATGGCTGCACCATGTGCAGGTATGTAGATGGTTAGTAACAACCCAAGTGGTGGCATGGGTCATGAAAGCATTGTACTACCTGTGTGTGTGTACGTGTGTGTGTACGTGTATGCGTGCATGCGTGTGTGCGTGTGTGTGCGCGTGTGTGTGTGTGTGCATGCTCATATTCAGCTATGACTAGCTCACGGCTGGTGTTCGACTCGCGTCTAGTCATCGATGAGAAGTTCACAACGACTGACCCGCTCATCCACGCTATGGGACCATGCACAAAGTTTCAGAGGAAGTTCCACAGGGACGACTGGTAAGCTGAGACCCCTTGGGAAACAGATACACGAGAGTACAGTCATGATTTGCGAATAACAACCTTAGATCAGACATGATACAAGTTGTGGGATCATGTACGAGTTGTAGTTATTCGCGAGGTTTGAAAGTCTACACTGAACTGGTGACTGTGTTTGTAGACGGTGTTGCTGTTCGCCAGCTGACACACCCGGGGTTGTTGTTGTTGTTGCTCACGACGTTGGCTGTACATAAACCCGAGTGGGAAACTCTGCACGTACTACAGTATGCTGCATGAAGCCATGCACACAGTGAAGCTTTTAGTTCAGCTTTTCATTCAAGTCATTATGAATCATAGCATGAGGCGTCATACCGTAGATTTCTAGAGCCAAATCACTAAAATCTTGAAAGAAAATTCGAGGCCGTTTTCAACCTTTCTGCAAGCAACGATGCTGGACAAAGAATACCTTCATGGTGCTGTGAAATGAATGTTTCAACCGCTATGGGATGCAGCAGTGTCAGCCTATACATGTACATGTACAGTTCTACAACCTTTCCGCGGGTTCTGCCTGCGGCAGCTGCTGGCTATGTATTTTACACACTCATTATACACTATCTATGATAAATTAACGGAGTCTATCCATTTTATTATATTGTATGTAAGCGCCTGCTCATTAGTTGTCGCGTTTGTCCTAGTCTCCGTACCACTGTCTTTCATTGTTCTTTTCGAGCTGGTTATGTGAACATAGTAAAAAATATATAAAAAAATGAATAAAAAATGTCGTGTGCAACGTGTCTTGTACATGTCCGTATGCATTTCGTGTGTACATATACGTGCACACATGCATTGTGTGTGTGCATGCGCACTGTCTGAAGGGCCATTCTGTTGTTTCTTGTGTGCTCCTGTCTCACCCCCTATTCGCCGTAACTGCAGGCAGCCAGAGCGATTTAGCAGCAAGGAGATGGGTCATATGGTCAGTATGCTTGCAGGGTTCTTGTGGATTTGTGCAAAATTAATGTTCTCTCGCTGAGACTACGACTTGGCTTGGGCTCTCAGTGCTCAGTCCAAATTGTTCACTTGTCAAGACGTGACCTTGGTTTGGGCTTTCAGTGCTTGGCAAAAGTGCTCAATTGCCGAGACATGACCTTGGTTTGGGTTCCCTTGCCGGGAATTGACCTTGGCTTGGACTTTCAGTGCTTGGCCAAAGCTTTTCATTTCCAAGACTTGACCTTGGTTGGGGCTTTCAGTACCCGGGAATATTATCCGAGAACAGTGCACAGCACATGATGGCAACTGTACCCTGGGCTGCATACCCATCAATTGGTACTCAAACCAGGTACCTAATCAAAAAAAGAAGAAGGAAATTCATGGTTGTGTTAGCTGCTCCCGGCTAATGATGCCCCCTCACACCGGAACACAGGGGTTTTATATGATTGGATAATTTATAGAAGTATTCGAGAAGAGTGTAGACAAGGAGAACAGGACAACGACAACTCAAGACAAGACTACAACAGAACTGGAGCATGCGCTCTTCTATGTGAGTGCTCATTGCCAAGGGGAACGAGCGGGAAATACAAATAGTGAGTATTCAGGTCGTAGCATACATACACCTATTACACTGTGCCCCCCTAGCTAAAATTCACGTCCACGGGAATGAACGAAATACCTAGGAAACAAACAAAAGAAAACAAACCAAATAATAAACTCAGTCCAGGACATAGTCAGCTAGTCGAGCAGGTGCAGTGCGAACACGGCCAGAACGACGAGAAACAGGAGAAGAAGTACGGACCGGATCAGACGACGGCGGCTGTAGCGGCGGAAAATCATCATCGGACAGCGTAATCGGGTCAGGACGAGAAGCAGTAACGGCAGGCGGTTGACAGTCGGGAGGACGGGAAACGGCTTCAGGCGGACGAACAAACTTGCCACTGGCAGCATCATATCGGGTGAAACACTCAGACAGAGCAGGATCAGCATACGGAGCAAGAAGACTCTGAGGCTTGTAACAATCCGGCAACGGTCCAGCGGCAGAGGCACCAGGAGGACGAACAAAAACGGCCGGAGGAAGAATCTCGGCAGCCGGAGGAACATCAGCAGCAAGTGGCATTTCATCAGCAGCTGACAACGGAACATCACGGGCAAGAGGCGGCGGACTCGGCGGAGGAGACGGGGCAGCATCTTGCGGCGGCGTTGGTGCCAGTGGCGGAGACTCACTGTGCACATGTGCTTCAGGTTCGGCTAGCAAGCGCGACAGACCATCAGCATTCAGATGTTGGCGACCTGGACGGTGGACGACTCGGAATTCATATTCGGATAAACAGTCAAGCCAACGTGCTTTCCGTCCGCGGGGTTCCTTCAGGTTCCGGAGTGCAGTCAACGCAGTATTGTCCGTCCTGGCAACAAATGGTCGTGCCAACAAGTAGTGCCTAAAATACTCCGCAAAATAGACCAGAGCAAGGGCCTCACGATCGCTAGCATCGTAGTTGCGCTCAGCTTTCGTCAGTACACGGCTGCCGTACCCAATTGGTCGCTCAGTTCCATCCTGGATCTGGCTGAGGACTGCACCAATCGACACATTGCTCGCATCGGTGTCCAGAATGAATGCACCTGCTGAATCTTCAAACTGGGGGTACGCCATCACCGGCGCACTGGCAAGCGAACGCTTCAGAGCCTGGAACGCCGCTTCGCAAGCTTTCGACCACGCAAAGCGAGCATTCTTGCCTGTCAGAGCAGTCAGCGGAGCAGCACGCTGGGCGAACCCACGGATGAAGCGGCGATAATATCCAGCGAAGCCAAGGAACTCGCGGACAGCTGTGACAGATTTCGGAGTCTTCCAGTTCCTGACCGCGACGAGTTTGGCTTCATCCGGGGAGATGCCCTCCGCTGACACGCGGTGTCCTAAGAAAGTGACCTCCTCCTGGAAGAAGGAGCATTTCTTCAGATTGAACCGCAGTCCAGCGGACCGAACTCGCGCGAACACGGGCAGCAGAATCTGGAGTTGGCCAGACAGCGTTTCGCTGGCATTCAGGACATCATCAAAGAACACACGGCAGAATGGCTGGGCCGGTGTGTTACATAAGCCACTCAGGACTGCTTCCATTACGCGCTGAAATGTCGCTGGGCCATTCCTGCAGCCCATCGGAAGAACATTAAACTCAAACAAGCCCAGTGGCGTGGTAAATGCCGTCTTAGCCTTGTCGCTTCCTTCCATTGCTATTTACCAGTACCCTGACGCTAAGTCAAGGGACGTGAAATACCGACAGCCAGACAGGGAATCAAGCATGTCATCCGCCCGGGGAATCGGGTAAGCATCAGGCTCGGTGACAGAGTTCAACTTCCTGTAGTCGATACAGAGTCGAAGAGAGCCATCCTTCTTTGGCACCAATACTATGGGTGATGCCCACGGACTAATCGATTCTTGTATTATGCCTTGCTTTAACAGCGTATTCAGTAGATCTTGCAGAGCCTTCCGGCGGTGATATGGAATCCGCCTGGTAGGTTGTTTTATAGGGTTATTTTGTCCAGTGTTAATTTTATGAGGGAATATGTCACAGTAGCCATAGTCATCATCATGCAAGATAAATAAATCGTGGTTATCATGAAGTAGTTCAGTGAGCGTGCGAGACTGTTCTGTGGAGAGATGATTTTGTGCGTTGATATATTCATCGATGACTTTCTTGCGTTGCTCAGTTAGCGGGATCGGGTTGGGTGAAACTGAGGAAACCATAGCCTCAGTGTCGTCAATATGTTCACAATCTGTAGGAATTTGATGAAGTTCGGCAACATTGGTATTTTTATGAATGAGTATAGGGTAATTTGCATGATTTTCAACAGCCACAACCACACGTGTTTGGTTAGGGCCAACAGTTACAAGACTAGGAGTCACTGCCACATCTGGATGCTTCGCCATAAAGGACTCCAATGGATCTGCCACGCAATCCATCGCAACCGTGCACACATCAACAGCTGCACAAGGCACCAAGACAACATGTCCTGCAGGTACCGACAACTCCATCTCAAACACCACACGAGATGAGTATACCACAGGGTCAGCCACACTCTCGGGCGCACACGCCGGGACAACGCCAGGTTGAGCCATGGGTTCAACAACCCGTGCAGACACTGAATCGTCAAGGGCAACACGAGAAGAATACGACGAAACAGGTACATCGTCGGAGCATGCATCAGAATGAGGGGTATGAGTATTACATGAGGGGGAAGTATTACGCGGAACAATACGATCATAGGGCGTACGTGACGGAGGACACCCAGAACCAGAAACATGCAACGGAACAGACACATCGCCAAACATCACAACACCACGAGCAATGTCTAATACACCACCATGCTGCAACAAAAAATCGGAACCAAGAATCATGTCACAGTGAATACCAGGAGAGACAACAACCGTGTGCTGGAAAGACAGATTTCCTAGCGACATACACAGATCCATGGATCCAACGACAGGAAGTTGTGCGCCATTGACTGCACACAACCGCGGAGCAGACTCTAGAGGAGGTCGCTCTGTCAAATTAGGCAACAATTTAGAATGCACTAACGACACACTTGACCCAGAATCAACAAGAGCAACAACAGGAGACGAAGACGAAGACGAAAGACAAACATCAACGTGCACAATAATGGAAGAGATCGCACCACATACCTCCTCGAGGGGCTCCACTCGGACGACTGACGGCGGCCCCGTGTCACCAGTCCAACCTAGTTTTTTGCGTGCGGGCAAGATGCAATGAAGTGGCCCTCTTCACCACATCCATGGCACACTCCACGGACAGGCCTCGCAAAACTCTGGCCACGACCACGACTAGGCGCACCAGCACCAGCACCACGAGCAACAAAACGTACATGGTCTTGCTGGGGTCGGGTGGGGCGATACAGACTCGCGCTCTCCATTTTCGCCTCCAAAGCAGAGAGACGCGAATCAAAACTCGACAAAAGCGAAGCCAACTGGTCTCGCTCAGATTCCGACTTCAGTGGACCGACTGCTGCGTAGGGGTCACGACCATGAGCAGTGCGACGGGGCTTCACTTCCGGAGCAGCAGCAAATACGGGCTGTGCATACTGGTAAGGTACGGTGCGGGCCTGCTCGCGAGCATAAATAGCACCTACCTCGATGGCCTTTTGGACCGCCGCATCCAAATCAGTGGGCCGAGGTGACGCCAACGCCAAGCGCAAATCCTTCGATGCCTGGCCATCAATAAAAAGTTGCAAAAGCATTGAATCAAGCAGTGCACCTTGTTGTCCTGGGTAGGCTCGACGAGCGAGCCGACGAAGTTCCGTGGCATACCCGTGCTGAGTTTCACTCGCCAGCTTCACTCGCTGGCGAAGACTGGCCTCGTGCATCAATGCTTGCTGGGGCGGCTCAAGACGGACATGCAGAGCCTCGACTGTGTCGGAAAAGTTCATGTCAGGCGTGTGAGTTAGAATTTCGGTGAACATCTCATGAGCTGTACCAACAAGGCGAGCAGGTAGTAGCCGTAGCTTTTGGTCGTCGTCGTACCCACTCAGCTCACATGTGTGGACGAAATGCCTCATGTACGTGGTGAAATCTTGGCCTGGCCGATTTCCGAATGTCTCAGGAAGCAAAACTGGCTTCGGCAGTGGACGTGCATGTGGTGTGTCTGTGTCCGGCAAACGAAAACGATGGGACAACCCTTGTACCGGCGAACTCTCGCGCTCTTCAGCAATGCTCATTTACATATGTCACAGCCAGCTTCAGCGAAGCCACGCTCTAGCTTTTCTTGTCTCTTGGATTTCGCTGAACGGCCCATTGTGAAAAAAAATTGTTTTTGTATTTTTGAATTTTCGAAAAAAATTTATCTGCAAAAATTTCCCGTGGACTCGATCGACGCCTCGATCAACTATCGATCTAAATCTATAGGGCTTGAAAGTGATGACGTCAAAACGGCCAGGGAGTAGTAAGTTGACATCAGATTTCTATTTTTGGATCCACTA